TGTGTGTGTGTTTCTTTCTAGGAGTTTGGATGAGGTCATGGAGGCTGCAGATTGTTGTGGAGCATGTTTCCTTCATGCAGTAAAAGTGTCAGCAGGTAAATGACATGTCGAGCAATAAAACTATATTTTAATTATATAAAATAAAAATAAAATACAATTTGTACATAATAGAACCAAAGTGGAAATGCAGAAAAAATAAAACAATATTTTAAACTCAATACAATTTTAGCTGATGTGTTTTTTCTAACCTGGAAAAAAACATAAAATCCCAAAAAATTGCATTTAATCCATAAAAACAACTTTTCCTGCTGCACACAAAGTCTGTCCTCAGTTAATATCCACTGCCATCTTCAAGTACGATGACTAAAAGTGCCATATTTCCTTCACTCTGGAGTACAAGGTATTATGAAATGGGAATATTTAGTATTTTCCACCACTGACTCCGAGTGAATCATAATACAGCTGCAGAGAGAATTAAAAACACGGAGAGGAAATAATTCCTCAGGATTCATAGTCTGTAACGTGTCTGAACCCAACGACAGGCGTATGCTTACACACACACACACACGCACGCACGCACGCACGCGCGCATGCACGCACACCCTCCATAAAAGAAAGAGTTTGAGACAGACGCACCACAAAGTCAGGAATGTGGAGTTTACATGGGCAGCTTTATTTGGCCTGAAGAAAATGTTCCCTCATTGAGAGAAAGCCACATCCCACACACACACACACACACACACACACACACACACACACACACACACACACACACACACACACACACACACACACACACACACACACACACACACACACACACACACACAACACACACACACACACACACACACACACACACACACAAGGGTGAACGTGCAGAACGAAGCTCCATCTGTTATTAACAGCGTTTAAGTGTCTCCGCAGAGAACAGAGAGCATGCTGGGAGTTTTGTGAGTGTGCAGGTACATCGGTATCAGCCTGAAGTCTAGTCGTGTTATTTATAGATAACACACAGATAAATACAGGCGTGGATTTACAATATGACGGTGGATGTGTGGAGTCATCACAACTAATCTTATCTGTGGACGGATACATCTGCACTTTGGCAGCTATGAGAGTTTGCATGTAAATGAGCTAGCTAGTAATGCTAATGTAGCATCAAAATCATGAATAAATTAAAAAACAACAACTTTATAACTTCCAAACTGCCGCTGAGGAACCAGGATAGCAAATCTTATGCCGGGGAATAATCCATTTTCCAGGCACGGCTAATATTTTGTATTACAATTGAATATGGTGTTCCACAGGGATCACTGTCTGGACCTTTAGAAATTGGCAAACTTCTATCCCGACGATACACTAATCTACAGAATGTACTTAGTTACTTCCCTCCAGATTTTCCTTTACGTATTTGTGTCACAAGAAGAGGTGGAAGAAGTGCTCACATCTTTTACTTAAATACAAATACAGATACTTATTTACGTTCTTAAAATGCAAAAATGTTTGAAATTAAACCAGTATCAGCTGTGCAAACACTCCTCCACGCTGTACTCACTTTTAGGAAGCAGGTGGGTGTGTTTCCAACAGGAAAGAGTACTTTGGTCAGAATGAAATGCACATTGTGGTGGAAGGTGTTTACGTTGAGGTGGGGGGGGGGAGAGGGTCTTTCTATAGGACGTTTGAAACCAGACAAATACACAACCAGGGTCAGAAATGTCGTCAGCTTTATGTCTAATATAAAAATATAATACTTTTACTCAAGTACAAGATCGAAGTACTTCTCCCACCTCTGAATATGGTTAATGGATACAGCTGATGATATGTATTTATATTAAAGCTGCATGTACAAATACATTAATGTACTCATTTTAAAACGGTACCTTTTTAAACCTGAATTAACAGATTTGTTCCGCTTGTTGAGAAGTAGTGAACACGGGATCAACAGACTATCACTAAATTAAGTTCATACGTTCAACTTTGTAGCGAGAAATCTTAGTTTTTGTCTCAACCTGATAATTATAAGTCAAATATCGTCTCTATATTTCATCGTTTCTCGACACATAGGCCTACTGCTGAAAAGTTAGATATTTCTTCTGAAAGCTGATTTTTTTGGAGGTAAACTCAAGTCTTCATGATGTGATGCAGCTTCAGATTAAACATCCTGTTCTGTGATTGGCCGCTGGTGTTGTTCCTGAACAAAGCCACAGACCACCAATCAGGATCCTCCGCCCACAGCCTGCTCACCACAATACACAGATCAGGTCTCCATGTTTACACTCCTGCAGGAAGGCATGTGCACATAAAGAAACCACAGAAGAAGAAGCAGCTAAATCACTGAAGCGCAAACAAAACGCCGGAGATTTTACATCAACACCCGGAGCGAGAAGAGAGACGTGTGCAAAATCAGAACAAAAGTATATCTACTACATCCAGAAGTACTCAGATCTGGTACTTGAGTAAAAGTAGAAGTACTCAGATCTGGTACTTGAGTAAAAGTAGAAGTACTCAGATCTGGTACTTGAGTAAAAGTAGAAGTACTCGGATCTTGTACTTGAGTAAAAGTAGAAGTACTCAGATCTTGTACTTGAGTAAAAGTAGAAGTACTCAGATCTTGTACTTGAGTAAAAGTAGAAGTACTCAGATTGTGTACTTGAGTAAAAGTAGAAGTACTCAGATTGTGTACTTGAGTAAAAGTAGAAGTACTCAGATCTAGGTACTTGAGTAAAAGTAGAAGTACTCAGATCTGGTACTTGAGTAAAAGTAGAAGTACTCAGATCTTGTACTTGAGGAAAAGTAGAAGTACTCAGATCTGGTACTTGAGTAAAAGTAGAAGTACTCGGATCTGGTACTTGAGTAAAAGTAGAAGTACTCAGGTCTTGTACTTGAGTAAAAGTAGAAGTACTCAGATCTGGTACTTGAGTAAAAGTAGAAGTACTCGGATCTGGTACTTGAGTAAAAGTAGAAGTACTCAGGTCTTGTACTTGAGTAAAAGTAGAAGTACTCGGATCTGGTATTTGAGTAAAAGTAGAAGTACTCAGGTCTTGTACTTTAGTAAAAGTAGAAGTACTCAGATCTTGTACTTGAGTAAAAGTAGAAGTACTCAGATCTGGTACTTGAGTAAAAGTAGAAGTACTCGGATCTTGTACTTGAGTAAAAGTAGAAGTATTCAGATCTGGTACTTGAGTAAACGTGGAAGTACTCAGGTCTTGTACTTGAGTAAAAGTAGAAGTACTCGGATCTGGTACTTGAGTAAAAGTAGAAGTACTCAGGTCTTGTACTTGAGTAAAAGTAGAAGTACTCAGGTCTTGTACTTGAGTAAAAGTAGAAGTACTCAGATCTGGTACTTGAGTAAAAGTAGAAGTACTCGGATCTGGTACTTGAGTAAAAGTAGAAGTACTCAGGTCTTGTACTTGAGTAAAAGTAGAAGTACTCAGGTCTTGTACTTTAGTAAAAGTAGAAGTACTCAGATCTTGTACTTGAGTAAAAGTAGAAGTACTCAGATTGTGTACTTGAGTAAAAGTAGAAGTACTCAGATTGTGTACTTGAGTAAAAGTAGAAGTACTCAGATCTAGGTACTTGAGTAAAAGTAGAAGTACTCAGATCTGGTACTTGAGTAAAAGTAGAAGTACTCAGATCTTGTACTTGAGGAAAAGTAGAAGTACTCAGATCTGGTACTTGAGTAAAAGTAGAAGTACTCAGGTCTTGTACTTGAGTAAAAGTAGAAGTACTCAGATCTGGTACTTGAGTAAAAGTAGAAGTACTCGGATCTGGTACTTGAGTAAAAGTAGAAGTACTCAGGTCTTGTACTTGAGTAAAAGTAGAAGTACTCGGATCTGGTATTTGAGTAAAAGTAGAAGTACTCAGGTCTTGTACTTTAGTAAAAGTAGAAGTACTCAGATCTTGTACTTGAGTAAAAGTAGAAGTACTCAGATCTGGTACTTGAGTAAAAGTAGAAGTACTCGGATCTTGTACTTGAGTAAAAGTAGAAGTATTCAGATCTGGTACTTGAGTAAAAGTAGAAGTACTCAGGTCTTGTACTTTAGTAAAAGTAGAAGTACTCAGATCTTGTACTTGAGTAAAAGTAGAAGTACTCAGATCTAGGTACTTGAGTAAAAGTAGAAGTACTCAGATCTGGTACTTGAGTAAAAGTAGAAGTACTCAGATCTTGTACTTGAGGAAAAGTAGAAGTACTCAGATCTGGTACTTGAGTAAAAGTAGAAGTACTCAGGTCTTGTACTTGAGTAAAAGTAGAAGTACTCAGATCTGGTACTTGAGTAAAAGTAGAAGTACTCGGATCTGGTACTTGAGTAAAAGTAGAAGTACTCAGGTCTTGTACTTGAGTAAAAGTAGAAGTACTCGGATCTGGTATTTGAGTAAAAGTAGAAGTACTCAGGTCTTGTACTTTAGTAAAAGTAGAAGTACTCAGATCTTGTACTTGAGTAAAAGTAGAAGTACTCAGATCTGGTACTTGAGTAAAAGTAGAAGTACTCGGATCTTGTACTTGAGTAAAAGTAGAAGTATTCAGATCTGGTACTTGAGTAAAAGTAGAAGTACTCAGGTCTTGTACTTTAGTAAAAGTAGAAGTACTCAGATCTTGTACTTGAGTAAAAGTAGAAGTACTCAGATCTGGTACTTGAGTAAAAGTAGAAGTACTCGGATCTTGTACTTGAGTAAAAGTAGAAGTACTCAGATCTTGTACTTGTATTGAGTATGTAAGTCCAACAAGTGACATGTACTGTAATACTAAAACAACACTGCCCCCTGCTGGTTTACACCGGTACGTCATCCTGTGAAAATAGAAGAGTTTGGGTGATTTTGAAATAAAAACACCAATATTTTATTTTAAAAAAGTCATAAAAACATTAATAAAATAAACATAGTTAACTTTCCTTTAAAGAGTGATTAATCGCAGTAAAATTCAAGCACTTTTAACGTCAACAACACTAAAGATTTACAGACTTTTTCTGTGTTTAAAAATGTAAAACGTGCAGAAAAGG